ATTCAATTTTAGATGCCACATTTTGAGAGACATAAGGTATATCTATAAAAAGATGACTAAGATGGTGAGGGGATTTTCACCACATAATGTAAAAACATGTTTTACCTGGAAGACGAAATCACTTACGTTAAAGAGGGACCAGAGCTTTGTCCTACTCCCCAGAGGAAGAGGAAGAACCATTGGTGGAAAGAAGAAATGTTCAACTCAATATAAGAAAGAATTTTCTCAAACTGAAAACAGGCCAACCATGAAACAGTGTGAGATCTGGAATGTGTAAGCTCATCTAATCCAACCCCTCATTTTACAAATGAGAAAACAGAGGTCCAGAGAAATGAATTATCAATCCTAAGGTCATACATAATTCAAGTAGCAAAACCAAGATTCAAACTTAGGTCCTCTGATTTCAAATTCAGGTTCTTTTCAAGACATCAAGCTGACTCTTTCTATATAGGATGGGAAGTTGGATTGAATCACGTCAAATATCATTTCCAATTCTATAATTCTTAGAGAAAAAAATAGTTCGGCCACATAAAACAAAATGCAGTCAGTTCCACAAGCAGATTGCTACCTTCTAACTGTCATCTGGCACAATGATTATGCATATAATTAAATGTGCATCAAATTTTGTTTTATTTTGCAATAGCACTTCCTCATGCCTGTGCCAGAGACTTTATTGTTCATTATGCAAAATGTATATACATATAGTTTTAGCAGTCACAAAATGCTTCTCTTCAACAACCACATCACATGTGTAGTGTAATTATTATTATCCCCACTTTACAGAAGAGGAAACAGGAAAGGAATTTGACTTTCCATGGTAACAAAGCTGGTAAATATCAAAGCCAAGATTCAAACCCTGCTTTCATGATTCCAAGTCCACTGCTGAGTCCCCTCTAACACCCTGGTGACAAATTATGCCGAGAGAGAGCAATGGGGGCCATCCCAACCAATGGACATTTCTCATACCAACTTGATGAAAAGGAGGAGAAAAGCACCAAGTACAGTAAATACAGTATTGGGGGAGAATATTTACCTATAATAGCTTAAGTTGTTTATATCTGACTCCCTCCTGTTAAAGAATTTACAAACTAGTATGTTTAGGGAGATGTTAAACTCCAATTTCTATTTTTTTTTTATTGAGAAATGAAATGGAAGTCCACTAACAATTGCCCTTTGTTTCAATTTGGTCTCAGGGGAAATGAAGCAATCAACTGAAAACATAAGTAAAAATTACCAAAATGTGTTACGTAGAAATGTTTTTTTTTAAATCCCATCCTGGGATATCCTGTGCAAGTACTCTTTTCTAGATTTTCAAAGGAAAAAGGTAGGGGAATGATACCCTCACTTTCCATAACCTCATTCTCAGCAGGGACCTAGTGTTACATTACTGTCCTAGAAAGGGACCATTGTATGTTCAGTGGTCCATGTTCACAGGTAAAAAATATTCTTACCTTGTGGAGTTTTCTAATGTTGTTGTTTAAAACTCTTTTCATACTATTGAATTTTTGTAACTATAAGCCTAAATGGCTTAGCCCTAATTAATCATTAAATTTAAACCTGCTGTCCTGTTCCCTGCCTGATGTAGTTAACTAGCTTTATTGTATATACATTTCCTTGTCTTTTTAAAGATAATGCAAGTGGTGGTGATTCTCAATGCAATTCTTATTATCTGTGTGTTACCAAATTTGCAGAGGAAGCAAAGTTAAAAGGGATGGTTACTAAACTGGATGCCAAAAGATGAATCTAAAAAGATGCTGCAGATGAGCTTAAACATAGATTTAACAGGAATAGATGTAAACTTCTACTCAATGATTAAAAAAAAAAAGTAGATTATGTAGGTATGCAATAGTTCATAGGGGAAAGCACATAAGCATTTTCGTTAACTCCCAATTCAACATGAGTCAACAACTTCAGAAGCTAAATGCACTAACATGATCCTAGACTATGTTAATAGTAGTGTAACATCCAAAATGAGACACGAAGAGACATCATGGATAAAGATGTAGCCTCGGAGGGGGCAGGGACACTTGTGTAAGTCACACCATTGACACATACTATTTGGGGGACCCTGGGCAAGTATTTTAACTTCTCAGTGTCCCACAGTTGTTGTTCAGTTGTTTCAATTGTGTCCAACTCTTTGTGACTCCACTTGGGGTTTTCTTGGCAAAGATACTGGAGTGGTTCACCATTTCCTTCTCCAGTTCATTTTACAGATGAGGAAACTGAGACAAACATGTTTAAGTGACTTGCCCAGAGTCACACAGCTAGCAAGTATATAAGGCTGGATTCTATCTATAAACTCTGTCTACTGATGAAATCAGGTCCAAACACGAATACACATACACACCCCCTCAAGAATAAGATAAAATTAAAATACTGTTGTATGCTGTTCTAATTAGATTTTATGTAGAGCACTATGTTGAACAATGGATTCCATTTTAGGATAACTCTAACAATCCAGAGGGAATACACTGTACAGAGGAGGAAACTTGAAAACATTAAACAATGGACATTGGTTGAAGAACTAGAGAAGTTTAGCCTAGATAAAAGAAGACAACTTGTGAGAGGCCATGATTCTTCACTGAATTCATGGATCTGTCATTCCACCAATGCATGCTCTCCCTTCAACAATGCATCCATGCCTTTGCATACTACATGATCATCATTCATATCCCATATGAAAAAAAGGATAATCATACACATCCCAATAGGTTCCATCTCAACCTGATGTCTCATAGATACCAGCGGTACACAGAGGTGATCCATCGATCATCCTTTGTTCTCAAAATATAACCAGTCTATCTCTTCTGGGCCTCCAGCTCCTTTCCACAATGCCCCACGCTCCAGTATATTCTTCAGGTGGTGACTGTCCACTCCTAGCAGTCTGTTGTTATTTATGACCCTGCCTCCGGAGAGAACTGTCTTTATAGAGTGGACGGTTGGACTAAATCACTTCTAAAAGTTGAGGCACAAGGGCCTTGATCAAAGTAACCAGGCCTTCATAGTGGTAATCGCCCACAAAATTGATGCGTATGTTATACTTGTTGACAGACAGTCTGTTTAAGCAGGTTATTTGAACCCAGGGATCAATACTGACGAGGGATCTCTCCTCCTACAGTTTGGCTAAAAGCAAAGAACACTGCTTTCAAAGTGCACTTAGGAGATGTTTTCATATAGGGCTCATCCTAGAATTAAAAGGGCATTCATATAGCTGGGGGCCAAGCAGGGGGAAACATTCGAAAGGCCAATTAAAGCACGCTTTATTGAATTTGCAATACCTACAGCATATCTGTGGCTCCCCAGAGATAAGAAATGCTATAAAAAGTATATTTTACATCATAATTATTAATGGTTTGAAGAAAAATAAAAATGAATGAAATTCAGTCCAGGCTCTGAAAATATGGACCATAGAAATCAAAAGCACAAAATGATTATTCCATACTCTAAGGCCTACTTAATACAGAGGAAATTTCTTATATACATATGTACACACATATAAAATAAACTCATTACTAAATATGAATGCTATACAAATATGAAAATAAATCTTTTATTTCAAACTTTATTTTCAGTAGTAAGGCTGTGGAATGTGGGTTTATACAAATCACATTAAGTATTAAATTATCAAAACAGTAGAAAAATGCATTTTGGGGGAAAATGGCGCTAAAAGTTATGACTGAAAAATGTCTCATTAAAGACATTTTCCGGAATGAAATTAATATACCACTCAAATTGCCAGAATTCATGATTTTAAGAAAGGATATAGTATAACATCAATGTGAAATAAATAGAGCCAGGTATGTGCTTGCAAAGAGAACTAAAGAAATAAGAATGAATTGATTAAGTGCAATCTTCTATCTGATTTTAAAGCAATAAACAAATATGTCTTCAGATGTAAAAACAATTTTGTTAAGTTCATCTATTTCTGGTCAAATCTACATCCTGATACTGATTTCCATCTTAGTGGAGATAGGGGTAGGTTTGTCTTGTTTCAACAAAATTAACCTTTAGATGTTAAGTTTCACATTCTGATTACATCATTAAAAAATTTCACTAACTCCACACTTAAATCAAGTTCTTCATTTAGCCCTGCAGCCATATTTTATTTTGGCTAATAATGAATGAGTTAGCTGACTTTACAAACAACAATGGAACAAAATAATACTTCTTTCTAATATACATAATCTTATTTACAGACTATCAGACAAGTATGAAGACACATTCCCTTGGAAATAAATAGGCGCCATAAAATGAGGTGTACTACATTACATAGCTTTCAGGTATGATGAACATCCCAATAGATATACAAAAGTCCTAACGCATGATATTTATATCAGTCGCATTCCATCAGTAGTTCAACACTGTCAGAGACAAGTAAGTCATAACATTAGGGGGCCAAAGCATAGCAGCAACATCTTTGCTTCACTAGGCCACTGAAAATTAAAAAATCAAAAAGAACTAATACATTTATACATAAATTAAGGACAATATGGCACAGACAAGACATTTTATTTGACCAAAAATTCGTTTTTATGCTGGTGCACCATTTTCAAAAGTAGACTCACCTTTTAAGAACTAAATCTTTTTTTATAATTTTTTTTAAATTTTTTAGGCAATTGGGGTTAAATGACTTGCCCAGGGTCACACAGCTAGTAAGTGTCAAGTGTTTGGTCTGAGGCCAGATTTGAACTCAGGGCCTCCCGACTTCAGGGCCAGTGCTCTACCCACTACGCCACTTAGCTACCCCGAGAACTAAATCTTAAAGAGTACACTAAAATTAAAAATAAAAAACACAATCTTGTGCTGCCTCAGAGTTAAATCAGAGCTTATTATGAACTTTTCTTTTAGTTAGCATACTAAATTTCTTGTTACTGATAACAGTTTTCTGTTAATTTCATCAACAAACCTTGAACTTGAACCTTAGGTCAAGTTGAGTAAGATTCCCTCTGGTGAATCAATGGTTCAGCTCTATGTAGCAAGTAACTGAAATGTTAGTTTCCTTTTTTCCTAGTTAAACCTATAGATAGCCATGTCTCATATATGTGAGGATTTTTCAAATAAATTATTTAAAAAATCCTGAAATTATCTCACTCAACCTCATTTACCATAAGATGGGATGCATTTTGTCTACCACACAAACACCTTGGCTACCATATTGAGAGTTGTCCTATTTTATCTCACAGACACCAAAGAAACCAGAAGGCCATATTCATTTCTAAAGAGAGGACAGGTGCTCTTAATGGTTGTCTGGAGTGGGAATGAGAATGACTATTTATAATTTATATATATATTTATAATGCCAGAAAGATTTTTTATAACCTCCTCTCTATATTTTAAACTAAGATGTGCCGTTACGAACCAATTTTAAAAACCTGAAAAAATATAGATAGTATCTTTAAATATCTGTTGTATTTAATATGGTTAATGCAAATAATAATAAATTAAAATACTTAAGTTTTTATGAAAGATTCTTATGAAACTATTGAAAGTTTTTAATAAACATAGTACAAGTTCAATCTACCAATACAAAATTTTTTTCTAAAAAACTCTTATTTCAATTAAAAAAAAAGTACAGAGTGATATGTCTAGCAAATCATACCTTTTTTTTTGTTTGTTTGTAATTTGGAATATTTTCTATTAAAATCTAAGGTTTTAACTTACTACACATAGTATATTCTCTACCAATACAAAATTTTTTTTCTAAAAAACTCTTATTTCAATTAAAAAAAAAGTACAGAGTGATATGTCTAGCAAATCATACCTTTTTTTTTGTTTGTTTGTAATTTGGAATATTTTCTATTAAAATCTAAGGTTTTAACTTACTACACATAGTATATTCTAGTATAGCAAGATAATTTTTTCTTCCTCTACAGAAATAGTTCCCATGAATCAAAATGTTTTCTCTTTTAAAAAAAATCCATTACTTTTTTTTAAAAAAGATTGATTTTTCAATTAATAGCATGGCCTGAGACATAATATATCAATCACTTTTAACTTTTAATAAATACTTCTCTTTATTTTTAACAGTGAGAGAAATAATACTCTTGCTGTATCAAAATAATGAGTTCATGGCTAGAAGCTATATTCTTCCTAAAGGATATAGGCATGATAAATCATTCTGAACTTCAAACCATGAAGTCACAGGCACATAGAGCTGGCTGGGACTTCAAAGATTATTTAGGCCAACACTCTCATTTTTTAAAATACATGAGGAAACTGAGGCACCAACACATTAAGTAACAGCTAGGTGGCTTAAGGGTATTGGCAGGATTATAACTCTGATCCCAGACCAGGGTTATTTCCACTACACCAACTATTTACATGTGTCAAATAAATATTTTTGGAGGTAATGGAAAAGTAACTTATCACATAAATCTTTAAATAAGAGCTTCTTTGCTAGTTCTGATATGAGAGGAAGGTTACTTAGAGTTTCTGAAAATCAGTTTATCAGTAAAATTTTATTGGAACTTGAACAAAATGTCTCCGATGGCCAAAAAACAAAACAAAAAACCAAATAAAAAACCCCTATTTATGAACTCCCATAATCACATGGAAAAGAAGGGGAGATTGAATAGAGGCTCCACAATGAGATGAAATAAACCGTGGTATAGACGACCCATGCTATATAACTATCCACATTCTAGCAGTCACTGGTATATGCCATGCCATTACTCATGATAATAACGATGTTGAAAAATAAGATTTCTTAGGTCCAAAAGGTTCTGATTTATCCATTACAGCAGTTCATCTGTGCTGACTTTTTTGCGCCTGTCCCAGTCAAGTTGGTAATTGATTTACTGTCGTCATCATCAGCTCTTTTTCTCACTTCCCTTAAATAAAAAAAAATCACAGAAATCCTAGGTTAACAGAATTCACTTTTATTTACATAGCAGTATAAATAAATAACAGCAGCAATGATAATCTAGTATCCACAGCTAAGGTAAGTTTATCTGTAATTTTCTGTTTCTTTTACATTTTTTCATAAGCACTACATAACTCGTAGATACGATATGCTAACTTTCACCTTCCAAAATTTCTCTATAAGAGAAATAGTCCCTATATGCCAATCACATATACACAGATGTGTATGTATATGTATATATACACTTATATGTACATTTATGAAATATGTGTATATTTGCACATGATTTACCTCACACAAATATGGTATAAGACAAATACTCTTATATACTGAAAAACTGCTTTATATAAAGAGAACTATCATAATACAAAATGGGTTTTAATTTTTTCTTTATATGCATGCACACATAAAGAATATAAAGGTATGTGTCCATATGGCTCATATAAACTATATATATAGACAGTGATAGTGTATCGATATATAGATATAGATATTTACAGACACATGTAAAGAATAAATTGTGCTTTGCGGAAGATATCTATGTGTACATATGTTTGTGTATGTACAATGTAAAGAAAAATGGAAAATTGTGCTAATACATATGTGTCTATTTGCATACATACACAATGTCCACCTGGTGCCTGTACAGAACACTTGGGATGGTATCGCTCCACATGGAGAGGCTAAGAAGCCTTCTTTCAGGAGGACTGTGATGATGTGTAAGGCAAGTGTCCTGGAGAGACTGTGAAGCATGGGAAACACTCTGTAACTGATTCTGGATCATTTTAACCCTGTGCTGAAACAGGTGGTTCTTTGATTAGCTAAGGGAGGCATTCAAAGTGTTTGTCAGTATCAGCTACTTCCTTTCTTGCCTCATTTGCTCTTGGGGGAATCTCATTGATTCTTTTGCTCATTATGTCCAGTGAGAGACAGTACTGGTAAAGGAAAAGGTCTTGGAGCCTTCTTCCCCTGAGGCCAGATGGCTCAGTGAAAGGGCCTTAGACCTTGACCTTTGAGTTTCTTCTTTTCCATTCTAGATTAAGGGAGTGGAGTTTCTGAGACCATGTGAGTTTAAAAGCTTCAGAGGGTCCCTCAGCATACCAGGGTTCATATTGGTTCACAACACGTATCAGTACTGTGCAGCACTAATGCCTCAAGGAGCAAAGAGTGATCACTGGGACCCCAGGCCCGTGGAAAGTGAGAGGAAGAATCACCCTGCAGTCGTGCTACACTGTGATTTGAAATTGGTGGGTCTAATGATATGTAGAAACTGAGTTAAACTTTGAGCCAATTCCCTCCTCCAAAAAGCAAGATGGTACAAAGGAGAGCATGCCCCTCAAGGTATTAGGGAAGTGTCTATAGTTTAATCTCACTATACAGCTAAAGTAAATACCCCTTTGTAAAAACTACCAGATGTTAGATGTGAAATTGAACCAGAGTGATATTAACTAGGTCCAACAAAGGGGGAAGAGAAAGGAGGAAAGCTAGCCAGTGAGGACTTGAGCTGATGGTGGTAGAAAAAAGAGACATCCCAATCCATCAGTGTACCCTAGAAAGCTGAGAGAGAGATGTAGCCTGCCTGCCTCTGAAGAAAAAAGTCAGAGCATACATACTACATGTGTGTACATATACAGACATATACACATATACACACAAGTATGTACATATATACATTGTGTCTATACCCATAAGCATATAAATATGTGTATACACGTATATGTGTACATACAAATGTACGCTGTGTCTATATCCATAAGTATATACATATGTGTATATGCATATATACATACATACATTGTACACTAGTTTTATGTTTATATTAAATGTATTTTCCCACAATTCCAGATTGTTATGAAGCGTTTAGGAGTAGCCTCAATTAATAGTTATAGAGTATTAGCCCTAACCGCAGATGTCCTGATTAGTGATAGTAATGGAGGTTAGAAAACTATAGATAAGTTAAATTAATGGATAATCCACAAAGCTCTCTTTAGCTACTGACTTCAGTGTGTTCCTTTTATTAGATGCCTTTATTTTACAGATGAGAAAAATAAAGTACAAAGAAAGGAAATTACTTCTCATAGGTCATGTAGATAATGAAGGTAATATCTGAAAAAAATATACTGTAGCTTTCTGGTATTCCTAACCCCCTTTGCCACTCATTTCACTTATTCTTTCAATATTACTCAAATTTCTTAAATTTGCTCTAAGTGTCCCCTCTAACTAAAAATAACAGTTCACATTCCAATAGTATACTTAGAGTTTATAGAGGGAAGATTCTGGGAAGATAGTGGAGTAGGTCAAGAAAATTCCAAGCTCTCCAGATTTCCCCCACAAATATAAAATAATGCCTCAGGACAAACGTAGAGCACTAAAGATAAACAAGAGTTGGGACAGAACAGTGGTCTTCCTAGGGCAATCACAGAAGATCAGAGGAAAATTCCCAGGACCAAGGTTTAGTCCCAGTGTAGAGTAAACACATCCAGGCTGTTTTGTTTGAAATAGCAGGTGGCAAGCCCTGGGGCTAGCTGGGTTGGGAGGTAACCTTGGTCTCTGCAAAGGAACTTTCACTTCCAGGACAGTATCTGGAGTCTGGTATCTGAGCCAGGGAAGATTAAGGGAGCCTCTGCTGATAAGGGACACACACCAGGCTCAGCTCAGCTACCCAGACACAGCCCTGGGCAAGAAGGAACCAGTTCATGCCCAGTGAGTACAAAAGCAATGGGGTAGGGGCAGCACTGACTGTGGGCACTTACAGGATGGCAGAGTTCTTGGTTTTGGTTCCAGGCCACAGGGAAAAATTGAAGGAGGATCTGAGGCCAGAGACACCATCCCCCATATCCCAGGACTAGAGGTGATTACAAAAAATAAGCTGCTATAAGTTTAAAAAAAAAAATGAGCAGGCAAAGGGGAAAGAATTCAACCACAGAAAGTTACTATAGGAATAGAAAAGACTGGGGTTTCTCTTCAGAGGAGGATAATTCAAGCAAAAAAAAGCCTCTCCTACCCCAAAGAGTAACATCAGATGGTCACCTGCCCAAAAAGAATTTCATAGAAGAACTTTAAAAAAGACTTTAAAATCAAGTGAGAGAAACTGAGGGAAACAATTTAAATAATAACAATCCAAGAAGAACAAGAACATTATAAAAAGAAAGTCAACCAATGAGAAAAGGAAATCCAGAATATTAAGGAAGAAAACAACTCCTTGAAAATTAGAATTGGGAACGAGGAAGCCAGCAAAGTTATAAAAGACCAAGAAATAATAAAACAAAATATAAAGAATAGAAAAAAAAGGTAGAAGAGAACATGAAACATAAGAAAAACAACAGATATGGAGAACAGATTAAGAATAGAAAACATAAGAATAATTGGACTACCTGAAAGCTATGATCAAAAAAAGAATCTTGATAAAATAACACAAGAAATAATTAAAGAAAATTGTCCTGAAGCATTAGAACAAGAGGGGAAAAGTAGTAGAAAAAATTCACCAATCACTACCTGAAAAAGATTCTACAAGGAAAACCTATAGGAATATCTTAGCCAGCTCAAGGATAAAATATTATGAGCAACAAGAAAAAAATAGTTTAAATATGTAACCATTAGAATTACACAAGATCTAGCAGCAGTGACACTAAAAGACTGCAGGTCTTGGAGCACTATATATTGAAGAGCAAAAGAACAGGGGTTGTGGCCAAAAATATCATACCCCACAAAGTTAAGCATAATCCTGAATGAGAAAAAAAATTTAATGAATTGTCAGACTTTCAGGATTTTGTTTAAAAAAAAAAACTGAACTTAAAAGAAGATTTGATAGATAAGAACCAAGAGAAATATAAGTTACATACCAAAGACTAACTAAAAGGGACTCAATAAGGACAGAATGTTTACCTTTTATAGAAAGAAACGTATGTCTAAAACTGTCATTAGTAATTGGGTAGTTCATGAAAAAAAAACTGGGGTAGACTTGAGTACGATATGATTTTAAAAAAGTAAAACCATTTAGGAACAGGCTAGAGAAGGAAATGGCAAACCACTCCAGTATCTTTGCCAAGAAAACCCCAAATGAAGTCACAGTCAGACACAATGGAAAAACGACCCAACAACAAAAGATAGTATCCACAAGAGGGTATGGTTAACCATGTCAAATACTTCAGAGTCATCATGAAAAGTTAAGACTGAGAAAAATCCACTGGATGTAGCTATAACGAGATCATTAATGGCCTTAGAAAGAGTAAATTCAGTCCAGCACAGGAACAGACACGAGACTTCAAGATGTTACAAAGTGAGGCGAGAAAGTAAAAGCAACAAATACATACTTTTTCTTGGAATCTAGCTGAAGAAAAAAAAGGGGCGAGGGGAGGACTATGGGACAACAGCTTTAAGAGGGTACAATCCAGTGAATGCTTCTTAAAAGACAGAGATCTGAGAAGGTCAGAGATCATCATACTTCTCTCTGGTATCCAAAACAGAACTCTGAATGTAATAAACACTATAAAAATTGAAGGTCACTGGTTCAAATTTATTCTAAAAATACAACATACACAGATATGTGATCTTGGCTTTATTTTCCTCAATCCAATTAAATAAAGTCATGCTTCATTTTAAAAACACTTGATTTTTTAAAAATTCAAACTTACAAAAATAGCTAAATCAGATTATAAGAATATACTTTATAAAATAATTCTTTATAAGCTCTGTTACTATATTTAAAATTATTCAATATTTAAAATTAAAATTTTTATTTGCACAGAACCCTTAAAAGAACACATCTAATTATAAAAAGCAAGGCCCACATTTTGGAAATTTTGCCTATACAAATATGCAAATATGTAGGATTTGAACACTAGAATTGTCCTAGAATGTCCTAGAATTCTCCACATTCAAATTTCAATAGTATTCTGGTAATAACAAATTTGCCTGTAAATGGGTTAATCATTAAGGAAAAGGTCCTACCAGCCAACTAAGGAAATA